AAACAAAAAATAGAGAAAACAATAGAGATACCAAAATACAAGAAGAAGCAAACAAGAGAGAAAAACATAAAGAATTGAATAAAAAAAATGTGAAGAAAAAAAAAATTAAATAAGCAAAATCAAATATAATTAATGTAATATTTATTATAAAATTACAAGAAAAGAAAAAAAAAATATTATAAATAAAAATTTAACTATATATATATATATATAAAATTAATATAAATTATAATAATAAATAAATAAAATAAATTAAAAAGAAAAATAATAATAATAATTATATTATAATAATAATAATTATATTATAATAATAATAATTATATTATAATAATAAATTATTTACCAAAAATAAAAATTAATTTAAAAAAAAACGTACTTGGTTTTTGTTAATTAACCTTTAATAATTTGATCACACCACTTTATAGAATGGGGATATTTAGAATACAGCGACACATATGTAGAGAGAGAAAGAAAGAGAGAGTGGTTTCATTAAATGAAAAGTTTTTAATACCTCATTCTAATCTCTTAATTACACCGGCCAATATGTCCAAAGCTTAACATTACATTTAATTTCACACAGTATTTCATAAATAATTTTTGGAGTTACTAAGTTTGGAATACAGAGAAAGAGAAGAAAGAAAGAACTATTTTATTACATTATGAGTTTTTGACATCTCATCCCTTTAACTCGGTTTACACTAGCCAACGTCTAGAGAGTTTTACATCATATTTGACTCCATATACTATGTCGTATAAATTATTTTTGGAGTCTGGTAGTTTAGAAAACAGAGCTACAGAAAGAGAGAGAGAGAAAGAATAAACTTTTTTGTGGTTGTTTTTCTACTTCAATATTTCTGAAACGATTAATTTCAAGTGATATCCAATCATTTTAAAATAAGCTTCTCAGATGATAAGAATGACTTGAAGTGACGCTTCATTTAATAGGCTTATTATCTATTACGACTCATGAGTGAAGTGAAAAGAACGCAAATTTTGTCAAAAGTTAAGAGAATTTGACAAATTGGTAAAATCATCATAAATCAATAAAAGAATACTGCCAATTATTGTCGGGTATTTTCTCAAAATAAATTTTATTTTTAATAGTACAACTACCTCGAGAATAAGGGAATTTCCGATATTCAAACACTTATCAAAATTAACTTTCAAATATAAATACAATTAACTTTATACAAATATAAATAATGAGTTAAGTTTAAAAACTAAAGCTTTACTATTTTCATTCTAAATTTTAGATAATACTTTTAATGTTTACATAATTGTTACATACATACAGACATGACTATATTGCGTAAGTAAACAGTTATCTTTATTATGATTCAAAATAAGTTTAAACTTTTACCGCTATATTAAAAAAGTAGTTGTAGAAATCATGTAGAATAATATTTATTTAAATTTTTTCTTAATTATTTTTAATTAATTTGAGCATCACATAATTATGCTGATAAGATATTGTGTACATTTTAATATTCATATAGATTATTCAAGTAGAATAATTATCGAAACAAAATAAACAGTGAAGATTTTAATATTGTTTGCTTTCATACATTGTACGATTGTTAAAATAAATAAACTGTTATACTGGCATTATAAAAACTGTGATACGTTTGCAAAAGAATCCGGGTGGCCATGTTACAATTGTTTCTTACTTGAAATATACGATAAGCGGATAAAAGTATGTATGGTGTAAATTTTCTGGAAACTGGAAGCACTGTCGAAATATTGAGCTGAAATTGACTTGAAAACTATTTGATGCCTTATTTTAAATAATTTATTTGCATTGGCAATAAAATTTTTAAGTGCAATTACTTATCTTCTCACATTAACTTCAAAATTGATGCAGAAAAATGACGGCGCATTTAATTTTGAAACACTGAAATCCCTATACAGAAAAGAACCGAAATTATTTTTAAATTTTTCCAACTCTTGCAATATTTTGTAATATTCTAAAGGAAGAAAATGGTAAGTAAATAATATTTTACAAGAAAATTATCATTTACGGCAGTTTATATGGAACATGAATGTTATCACATGCCAGAATAATGTAAACAGAATAGTAAAATATTACATTAAGCCCCAATTAGTGTGTATCTTCCGTATTTTATTTTTTTTTATAAAATTCTTGTAATTTACTTTAAACTGATTCACGTTGTAAGAAGATGTAGCACAGAAAAAAAAATATTATTTTATTAATTAGTTGACTTTTAATTTAACCCTTATACTTTTATCAATTTTTTTAAACAAATAGCTATTCTGCGTTAAATCTATGGTTTAAAACATATGGTTAAAGAATTGAGCACGCGCACACTGTATTGCCAGAGATAAAAACAAAAAAAAAAATTACTCTTTAAAAGTTGATAAAAAAATTTCGAATATTCTCTAGCGATTTGAGCTTAGCAATCAGAACAGAGGAATATTTGTAACATTGAATTTTTACCGAACGAGTTGCATAAAATAAGGGAGGCTATGTGATGACACCAAAATTGCACATGTTCAGTTTTTGGTGGAGTCGCACTTCTCAATGGTAAATGACCCTAAATAAACTATTTTTAGAAAGATGTCTGTATGTCTATCTGTAGTCGGCAGTTTGCTTGTGCAGATCTCTATAACAGGCTCGACTAAACCGATTTTCATTGAAATTTATATTTAAATTTATTTGGTTGATGAAACGGATTGAGCAACTTTTGGAATATGTCATGTTTCCGGAACTGGATCATTCCTACGGGCTGGATCATTTTTAAGAAAATAATCAGTGGATTCTACCAAAAATATTATGTATAAATTTCGCCTAACAATGCTAAAAGAGAGAAAGAGAGATTACTTTTAGAGAAAATCAGATGTTAGCAAGTTTACTATGAGTCGAATCAATTCACAATGAAATTTTATTTTTAAAATTTGGTTATTAAGAGAATCTGACTGTAAATATTTTGGGGAATATCAGGACTTGGAAACAGAAGGCCGAGGCCCGATTTTGTATATTTCAGGAATTTCCTGAAATTTAATACTTAAGTTTTTCTTGTTAACTAAATTAAGTGAAAACTTTGACAGGGAAGACAGGCCATGAAAAATGAATCTCTAAAACCAAATTAACATTTTTCTACTTACGTTAGTCATCTAGGTATATTTAGGTATATAAAGCCTACCTTCCATCTTTCATACAATCTGAAATAAATATATAAAGGAAATTTTGCATAATCTGATTCAATATTTTATAAATGTGATCGATTATGTGTTGTTCACATCAGATTTTTTATTACGTACATAGGTATATTTTGCAAATTATTCAATTTTTAATTTTACAAAAAAATCAAAAATAAGTCGACATTTTTTACAATGTAAGTTAATAAACTTGCAAAACAATGAAAATCAAAAGTAAGTTTATCAAAAAAATACAATTAAAGCTGACGGAACAAAATTTATAACTTGTAGAATTTGCGTCGTTTACGAAATTTTTTGTAAAATAGAAATCATGATAATGTTTTGGACTCAATATGGAAAAAATTTGAATTATTTAAATGCTAATTTGGAGATTGTTATAGCGAATTGTACAGCGATGTGTAACGGAATGTGATGTTAACCATAAGACTGACGAAGTTAAACTGAACCGAGGTGACAACTGAATGCTATAAGCAATTGAGTTCTTACTCTCTATACTTTGGGCATCTACTTATAAATTTCTGTAATGATTTTTATTTCAAATAAGAGCCTAGTTTATACCTACTCGGACGAGCAAATCAAATTCAATATTCAAAATTCATGTTGATGTTATACGTAACATATTATGTATGTAGTTTACAATAATTCTTACTAACGTACCTACATATAATAAAATAATTTATGATCTATTTATGTATTCACACATAGATAATCAAAATGTGCAGACTTAATTTTCAGATTAGACTAGTCTACTTAAAATTAATTAAAAGATAATTATTTTATATTATCAGTAACATAAAAATAATATGAAAATATAATGTCAAAAACAACAACAAAATTCTAAAATAATTGTTATTATACTCAATTTCATGTGAAATTTTTGAAAACGAGACGTTTCACATCATGTCACATGCGTTCTTCTCATATTTCCATTTCAGATTGTGCAATTTTCTTTTTTCTGTTTTGTTTTCAATCCGTTTCGAAGATTAAAATTTTAATCTATATAGGTTTACGTGTACTGCACAGTAAAATCTCTCTTGGTTCTTCAACTCAAATTTTGTCTTTAAAAAAAGAAAAATTTCGCTCTATAGAATGTACAGTCTATTCTCTAAATCTCAGTTTTTTTCTATAGAAAGTCTTGTTTTGATATTTTGACAATTGAAATCGACCTTTGCACGTTTACTCACTCGTAGTTGAAGTTTAACTCGTACGTTGATGTTCTTACACATTAACTTTCATAAACTTGTTTCATAATTGAATCAATCTAAGGCGTGATCTGAGATTAGAACTGAGATAGGGGTCATAAATGGCTCTTGTATTAATGGTGAACATGCCAGAAGGATGGGCTGTTCTACGAATGATCTCTGTAGGAGTCGCCATTTGTTTTGTTCATGTTCGGCTTAGGATAGTAGGCGATGCCTTGGATCATATTTCTATTTGCGGACGGAGCTGGTGTATGCAAATTTGTCACCAATTGATTTAGTTTTCTGATTTCAATTTTGGCACTAATTTTTTTAAGTTTGTTGTATTTTATTTTAAATATTCTTTACATATCACAGATATTGATAATGCGAAATATATTTAAAATTAATTTAAATTAATTTGGAGTCAATACAACTCAATTACACTCAATTTGAAATTTGATCCTATTACCAAGAGAATTATTATTATTTTAATAATAAAAAAATGAGAGAAATTTAAAAGGAGTATGAAAGTTAAAATTAAAGATTATAGAGAAAAACACTCTTTCTCTTTTTACAGTAAACTTTAATTTCAAAATCAAAACATTTAGTAGGTATTAACGTTTCGTTGCGAGAGCATGTAATTAAAATTTTAAATAAATTTTTTTATAACACGTTTAATAAATTAAAAATAAAACGTAAAATAACGGTATCAGTTATTCAAATCGATATGATCTTTAACATATTATTAATTTTTTAATACAAATTATAAAATTTGCATTCTTGTATATTATTTTTGCAATATCATTATTATAAGTATATAAAAATATATGTATATATGAACTGAGACCAAGTTTAAGATTAAATTAAAAAGTATAGAAATAAGAATACATAATTATTTTTTCATCGTTTTAAAACGAAACCTCAAAGTGTAATTTAATATCACAATAAAAATTTTATTTAAAATATTTATTTATTTTGAATTCCTAGCATAATATACCAGTATCTACTTACTTAATATTAAATACATACATACATTTGTGGTATAATTTACGTTATTATTAATTTATTTGTACAATATATTATGTTCAAAGCAACCAACAGTTTAAGTGAAGAAAGTAAGCATATTATACATGATTTTAATAAAATCTATCGAATATTGTAGCTCCATAAATTATAAAACCAAAACACAAAAAATATTTTATTAAAATAATATTACAATATGCATACAATGCATACAATATATTTTTTAAATTATTTAATGTAAAAATGTAAAAATTATTTAATTTTAGCCTTGCCAGGTGATGATTATTTTAGAAATAATAAAGATACACGTTTATATGATGAGCAACAAGCTAATTTAATACAAAATCATAATAGAAAATTTAATTATCCAAAAGCTGTGATATTTGTTTTACTAACAAAATTATTTGAAGCATTTGCTGCTAATGGTATTCGAAGTAAGTAGTTAAATTAATTGCTACATAAATATTGATAAATATGTAATTCTATACACTAAGCATTAAGCGTAATTCGGACATATTTCAGGTAGTCTTTTTAAAAGCTATTAAATAATTTATTAACTGAATTATTACAGCACTCTCCGAATTTCGAGTGAGTGCTGTAGCAGCATGCTCCGGACTACAGGGAAAAGGGAAGGGGGTAGGGGGCACTAAAGAGATAATTAGTTACGGTGCACTGTTACAGCGGTTGTACGAATCTACAAAGTTACAAAATCTTTGAAGAGCTATTTGATAATACAAGATTAGCGGTCATGATTTTTGAAAATATTCAAAAAAAAAAGCAGATCGCGTTCTTAGTTAGCGTAAGGAAAGGCTAAAAATTTCTTAAAAATATAAAAATATACATACAATGCCAGTTTGATTTTATAAATTTTCCAAATTCTTCTTCTCATTCAATTAAGCGCTATCATGCATGCCCTTAATTCTTGCATTTGTAAAAACAAAATCATATAAGAATGCCAAACTGAACTATATTTAACAACACGTAATTTACATTTTACTGCTTAATCACAATAATATGTGTACTTATGTTTTTAAAATTCTTTTTTTTATTTTTACAGCAATTTTGGCTTTATACCTTCGGGATGACTTGAAATTTACTGAAAATTTTTCAACAGTAATGCTACATGTATTTAATTTTTTTGGACAATTTTGTCCAATATTTGGTGCTGTTATAGCTGATAGTTATTTAGGAAATATTAAAACTGTACAGTATTTTAGCATTGTATATTTGATTGGTTGGATAGGATTAATTACAACATCATTACCTATATCAGGAATCCCAGTAATGTATATTAAAAAAATTTACAATTAGATCTTTGTGTATTATGATTTATATATGTTTGTTATTTAATAGATTCTTAATTTCAACTGCACTTCTCTTTATATCAATTGGTAATGGAAGTGTTAGAGCCTGCATCACCTCATTGGGTGCTATGCAATTTAAATTACCTGAACAAGAAGTACAATTAATTCATTATTTTTCACATTATTATTTTGTTTATTATACTGGAATATTTGCTAGTAAAATTTTACCACCATTAATACGATCAGATATTTCATGTTTTGAGAAAAATGAATGTTATCCGGCTGTTTTTGGTGTACTTGGAACATCATTTTTTCTATCATTTGGTAAATTAATATTTTTCCATTTATAATTTTATTGGATTTAGTGTAATAATTGAAATTTTGTTGTTTTAGTAATTTTTTTGATTGGTAAATTCTTTTATCAACGAGAATATCCTTTAGATGATAATATTGTATTGGAGGTATTAGGTTGTGTAAAAGAAGCAATCGTTAAAAAATATAATTCATCGGAGGAAAAACATTCTAAATGGTTACATTATGCAATCGGAAAATATTCAAGAGAGTTTATTGATGATGTTTCCCAATTCTTTAAGGTAAGAATATTTAAATATTGCATAACATACGTAATCACTTGTAATAACTCATGTAAAGTTTTGTTATGTAAGACATATTATACATATTATATGTATTAGTTTGACATATTATATGTTCTAAAAATTTAAAATTCCTACTATTTTGAGTTACAGGTTTCTACATTATTTCTTCCGTTACCAATTTATTATGCTTTATTAGCACAACAGGACTCAACTTGGACATTTCAGGCAACACAAATGAATACAACGATTCTAGGAATTGAAATTCAACCTGATCAGGCGAAAGCAATGGGACCAATCTTTTTATTTACAATGATACCAATATGGCAATATTTATTTGTTCCACTTTTAAAAAAATGTAATATTCAAGTTCATCCATTAACTAGTGTAGCCATTGGTGGTCTTTGTTCTGCTTTAGCATTTTGTTGTGCTGGTTTATTACAAATTCAAATTGATGTATGCATTTCTTTTTGTACACGCCTTTTTGTGATTATTTTTTTTTTTTTTGTATTTTAGATTAATACAGCTAAAAGTATTTCAATTTTATGGCAAATACCACAATTTATTTTACTTATGATGGGTGAATTATATTTATCAATACCTGGTTTACAATTTGCATTTACTCAAGCACCATCAAATATGAAATCTGTATTAACAGCAGCATGGTTTCTAAATAATGCATTTGGAAATTTAATTGTGATATTTTTGACAAATTTTAAAATAATTGACATACAAAGTTCTGAATATTTTATATATGCAATATTAATGTTTTTAGCAATAATTATTTTTACAATGATGGCATGCAATTATTTAAGAGATCAACAAAATTTATTATTTTCAAATGATGAACAAAATTATAATATTAGAATAACAACATCATCAACAACAATAATCAATTCATCATCATCCGAATTGGCAAATAATAATAATGAATTGAATGGTAATGCAATAAAATATGAAAATTCTAATAATTAATCGTATATATTAAATAAGAAGTAGGGAATTTTTGAATATATAATACTTTCTTATACATAATAAAATAATATTATATTATTTGATTATTAAAATATAAAAATATGTAATTTATTTATTTTAGTAATTTTAAATTATAATTGTTGAATATAATTTTTAGAACTAACTATGTATTCCTTGTATAAATATTGTTAAAATAATATAATTTTTTTTTAAAGAAATATGTGTATATAGATAGGTAATATTGCAGTTTATATAAATGTTTATTTATTTTTATGAATAATTACTACATATATGCATATTTTATAATTTATTGTTTCAGCATTAATGCTCTTACTATTATTAAATAATATATTTACATACATACATAAGTAAAGCATCATTACGATATATTTAACATATAAGTAAAAAAACAATTTGTGTCTTAAAATAAAAAAATTAAATCTAAAATACGAGTTAGTTCTATATTAGCTCAAAAAAACAGAAATTATTCACAGAAAAAATTATTTTATTAATATTACATATTCATACGAAACTTGTGATCAAGGGATTCATACTTCAGCTATTTTGGTCCGAAGAGGTGAAGTACATTCCACAGATACTAGAAACAGGAATTTATTACATACTTTTCGTAAATATCCAGCGTACTATGGAAGTTCCTTTTATAAAGCTCTTAATAATAATCGAAAACTTCTTAATGTTCTACAACTGAAAAGATAGTTAGTGAACGATATGTGTAGTTATGACAATAGGATTTCATAATATAGGCACAAAACTGTTCTTTTTTATAAACCATAAAATTTGAGTTTTGTAGGGCTTGTAAGATTTTGTGTCGAATATGTAGGAGGGCTTTTCACACAAACCCTCTATATTATAATTTTAAAAACAATTTATTATTCTCTTATGAATATAACAAATTAAAATTTTTGCAAGTTCAATAATTATTAAGTCACATTATTAAAGCAATATCAATTAAATCCCAAATTCGTAGGTACATGTACATGGATTTAGTTTTGATGTTAATTTGCAAAATACTTATATAATAAAATTCTTGGATAATTATTATTGAAAAGCACTTATTTTCTATAAATCTTTATACAATTCATTTAATAAATTTACAAAATTTTTAAAAAATTCTTATAAAACTTACAAAAATTCAATTAAAATATGACAGTTTTTTAAAAAATTTATTCTTTAACTAAAAAATTTTTTGACTAACATTTAAACTAAAAAATTCAATCAAACAATCCTTAAAGAGTTTAAATTTATTTAACAAAATTTTTAATTTGACATTTAAATTAAGAGTATTTTCTTTTTTTTTGTAGAAAATTTAATTTTTTTTTATTATTCCTTTTTATTTTAGCTTTAAAACTTTTCTATGTCTTTCACGTATACATATACACATACATATATACAAGATATTTTATAAATTAAATTTTTAAAAAATGATTAATTTTCTTTATTATTTTTATTATTATTGTGAAAAAGGAAAATAAATGCATACAATAAAGTTTTTCTATCAACACTTTCAAAAAGTCGATGATAAAATATAATTCATTTTTCTGCACCATGAAAAAGGTTTAATAACCTTTTTGTTCATTCTAATATACCAAATTTTATATATGTAAAATATACTGCATATACTTATAGCACTTATAATAATATATATAATATCTACATAATTATGTATATGTAGAAACTTTCATATATGTATATGGTGCCAGATATGGTTTACACAATTTTTGAATTAAAATTATTATTGCCTGACATTAATTATTAAATTATCCATAGTAGAATAGTGTTTCAACTAGGCTGCTTTATGAACTTATTCATAGTTTGCGATTTATTTTGCTCTCTTGTCATTTCTTAATTTCATGATGAAAATAGAATTACTTAATAACAAAGACAATTTATATTTAAACTGGATTCGGAAGATTATGTTTGACTTTAAATTTTAATAACAATGTGTTAGCAATAAAATTTGAATTATGCATGCTACAGCTCATATAGTATAAAATTTGCTAGTAAACTAATGTTGCGCCTTTAGATTTCGGATTATACCAAAATGTGATTCAGTTGGACTCTAGATCTGTCATTTAAAGTGGCTTCCCCATTTTTCTTACACAGTTTTGTATTATCCATTTTGTTGAAATTTCTTTGTGACTCAATTACAATACTATTGCCGTCTCTGCCAACTATTTTACTTGGTAAATTTTGCATGAATATATTCCTAAAATATAACACAAATATTATAAGAAATGTAAATACATAAATGATATCATATCCTTCCTTTTGTCCTTCCGTTAGATTTTATTTTATTATATTATGTACAGCACATATGTATGAATATTATCATTACTTTTTTCCAAGTTAACTTTCCTACATTTCTATATTATTTTTTGTATTTGTAAGTTTTGTTTTTTACTCTGGTTTAAGTTTTTACCTACTGAAATTCATCAATGCTTTTATACGTTCCTTTTTTTTCAAAAAATTTTCACTCCTGTTTTTGCAAAAATCTTTAATTAATAACATTCAGTGAATAAGAGAGAATGTTGGAGTATTGGGTGTGCACTATGATGGTTTTTTTTTTCGTTTTTATTGAAGCACGTCATAGAGCCATGGATATTTGAGGTAAGATGCCATAGAAGCTTCATACGCGCAGAAAGGTGTGAAATTTTTTAATTTTGTCTTTGAAATTTTATTCTTAAAATGTTTTTTTTTGCATTTGTGTTTTTTAGTTGTTTTTCTTTTTGATATCACTTTTCCTTTAACATAAATTTTTCTTTATACTGTTTTGCATTTTTTTTTTGTCATTCATGTATCTTTTCCGTATCTTTTTCTCTACTTTTTATATTAAAAAGTATATGTAGGAAGACATGTTTAATATACTTCACGTTTATGTTTTTTTGGTGGTAGAGTAAGTGTAAATATTCAACATGTTCTATATTTGATGACAAAAACCACTTTAATTTAAAGATGAAAATGCATTGAAAAGGTTTCACAATAAAAGTAGCTGCTTCTCAAGTGTAAATATATATGTGATTCAAGTTAAGAAGATGCATTCGTCATGTCTCTATAATATACATAGGCAGATAGACAGATGTATAATAATTGTACATTAAGTACATATACTACATATAGTAATGCAATCCCAAAAGAAAAATGGGATTGCTTTAATTTAGTATATTTGGTTATTTTTTCCTTCGTTTTCGTTCTATATGAAAATGTCGTACCTATAAGAGGTAACTTATAATAGTTCGTGAGCACAGGCTCCAAATTTGTTTTAGAAGTAGATAGATAATAAATAGTTTGGAAAAAAAGTTATCGAAAACTAGTTGTAAACATTTTTGATAACTTTCATAAGAAATTTTTGAATAAGCATACGGGATCATCGCCTTCTTTTTGTCAAATCAATATGCAACTCTTTTTGATAAATTTATAGAATTTTATATGAATTTTCAGGAGTTTAAGCAATATGCATTTTATAGAACTTTTAAATTGTTAAATATTTTCATTTGAACATATTGAACTTTTAATACCAAGTTAAATAAAAAAGAATATTTCATGTTCGCATTTTGCGAACAGAAGAATATCTTTGAAAATATCACGTTTTAATATGAAATTTACAATGTGAATTAACATTACAATAAAAGAAACCTCCTATTTATTCAGGGTACATTGAATGATGCACAAAAAACTATTTATAGAACCATTCATATACCAACATCTATCTATACAGTAAATTGATATGGCACATAGTTTTTAATCTACAATGAACGAGTAATAAAAGTATTATTGTACTACCAATATTTATAATATTCAACCAGATTTTAAACATAAAATAATCTACATTCATAAACTATAATTATTACTATAAACTGTAATGAATAAATTTTTAACATTTTTGAAAAAAAATTACAACTTTACATAAATTATAAAAAAAGTCATTAATTTTGAACATAAAGACATCAATAAATTCATCTATAACATCTTATTTTAAAAAACTTATTTATATTCTTCAGCTTTTGATATATACACACTAATATAACACCATTATTTTAAAACTATATACATTTTATATTAAGTAGATGTTTTCATAATAAATTTTATTAAAAATAATATGTATAAGATTTATTGTTATTCATTACTCTGTACATATATACTGTATATATATATAGCTGTACATTATTATATAAAATTCTTGTTTACATTTTTAACGAAAAAGTTATTAAAATTATATAATATATTTTCATAAGGATATTTTAGTGGTAATAATAACACAATAACAATAATAATAACATTGACGTATAAAAAGACTTCTAGTTGTATAACAATATTTTAATTTTTTTTCTCATTATTGTCATGTTTTTATACAAGTAGAATACTTTGTAAATATTGAGTAATGAATAATAGCAAAATTAATACTATGTACTTTTCAGTTATGTTGTGACTTTTATTATGCATGAAAATAACCCCGAGAAGAAAATTTCCATCATTCTCAACAGGCAAGAAGAAAATTTCTAACAATTCAATGGAAAAAAAATTTATCACAAAACTGATATAATGTTTAAAAATGTTGCATAAAGTGCGACTTTAACTTAACCCAAAACCCACATGATGTCAAACTGAGTAACCAGTAATTTTGTTCTATCGTGTTTTTCCTCTTAAAGCTCGTGAAGAAACGCTCGGAAATGTTGTCTCAGCGCTTTAAACTAAATCCAAAGATCTCGTTCGTTTCAATCTCTCTGCCCTAACTGTCTCCTCTATAAGTCGAGAGACCTCGATATTCAAGGGTTAGGTGCTCCAAACGGATTCTATATTACATTGCAGTTTCTTATTTTTTCACTTATTCCGGGGTTCCCTATGAATGTTATTATTACATATATGTACCAAGAAGCACCCACCATACTGTGAAGCATTTTATTCTAAAAAGTTTTTATCTATTTGATGCGTATTCGCTCGCAAAACTCTATAGCTGTGTCTATATGGGTTTTATTATTTGGTTATATATCAACACTATGTTTTATGTTGCCAGTTTGAAGCCACAACTTAGGAACCAATAGTATTCTCTATGTGTATTTGTTTTCTCATTTTAATTATTTTCTTCTTGACATGTTCTTGCCACCAGAGCTGAACATCCAAAGTCGTTCTGAGATATGTATTTTGCTGTACTTTGAATAGATATTCTAGTATCATTAAAATTTAGTTGAAGCCATATCATTCGACTTATTCAATATTGTTTTA